CCTCCCCCTCACGATCCGTCACTAGAAAAACAGCCGTAAATGTCATTCTTTCCAGGACGAAGCACGGTTTTAAACCCGTCCACCGGTTATTTCTGGCGAGCCTTTCCTCGTGGCGAAAGGAAGGGTGCAAACGCGCCGCGGAAGAAGTTTCTGTTTTCTCGGAAACCGTTCGTCAAAGAGCCATATGTCACATCCTAAACGAGTCTTGTAATTCGTATGGCAGCGGTGCCGGGGCGGCATGAGAAAATTAACGGCGGTCTCCGCGACGTCTCGCTTAAAATAACGAATACATATTTTCATAATTTCCGTATTTTAAAATGCAGATTTATTAAATTTAAACTCTAATAATACGTGTCCTTTAATTATATATAAACAAATTTGATGAAGTAAATCTTAAAAATATGATTTAAATTATTCTTAACAATTCTGCCAACAAATATGGATTATTCCTTAATTATATCAAATGCACAAATCGGTAAGGAAAAACTGACCAGCATAACGCTGAAATTTATATCAACGTGAAACTGTTATTGACATTTTACCGAGTTTTACCACAGAGTTTTCTGCGTGTAATTCAATTATAATCCAATGAATAATTATGTTCATAATATTTCAGGTTTATTACAATATTCATAAATGTCAAAACAATTTTATGGCATGGTTATGGTAATTTATTGATATACAAAATTTACATACCAATAAATTACTCATAATTCGATATTTTATAAGCTCCGCTATAAATATTAATCGTTTAATTAAGATAAAATTATTTTTATTGCGTTTAATTTTTTTTACTCGTTATAAACAAGTTAATAATATTTTTATAAAAATATCATTATTAAACATTTAAATGTACTTTTAATGTAATCAGCCACATTATCGACGCACTATTTATACCTAAATTACATTAAAAGCCTTTCTTTTTCAGTTATAAATCGTTTTATCCGTTTTAATTTATATTGTTTATTCTCGCTCTGAGTTCGGCATTTACGAATAACGACGCTTCGCGAAGCACGTTCCGCGGGAGCATAAACAGCCTTGGGCCAAAACATTAATTTGCGGCATATTTACACTGTCAAGATACGTTTCCGAGTATTCCGCTGGTGATTCTCCAATAATGCGAGCCCGATTAGGCATGCTACATTAGGTACTCCGTTTTCTCCGTCCGCTCCGTTCGCTCCGTCGACGGGTAAATGCTCGTAAGAAATCGGCCGAGGGTGCTCGGAAAGCCGGAAACTGGTAAAAACACGCGTGGAAAAAAAGGGCATATATTTATACAGTCGGCAAGCAAACGCGTAAGGTTTAATTGTGCGAGAACAGCAGGAATTCTCTTGGAGTGCGGTTTTTACGCAGAGTCGTGTCGCGACAGTCGGACACTTCTTTCCCGAGGAAACGGCGGACAATGTCGCGGAGCTCGCCGGGAATCGGTTACAAATTAGTCACCGGCGCGTTTCGTTTCCTCGGAAATAAGGATTCTTCGGTCGCAGCGGAATACTCTCGCGCCTTAATGAGGATTCTGCGTCATTGCGCGACCGCGTGATGCCCGTGAGTCTCGTAATCGGCGATCTTACGAAGGGGATTTACGTAACGCGATATCCTGCGGTTACCTTGCAGCGACGATCCGCCACTGCATAATTGCATCTTTGGCAGGAACGACTTAAGCGCGATCGCGATGTGCAGCGGCACGAACGTTTGGCGCCTCCGCTATGTACGGGTGAATCATTATTTCGCGAGGCACGAAATACACAGGCACACACAGGAAAGGACGACACCGTTCGAACTGTCTCTCTAATTTATTCCTTGCACAATTGATCCCGCGCCGCTTCTAATAAATAATCAAATCGAACGACGGGGGTAAAATCTTTTAAGCCTTTTTAACGTTGAAATAATAAGAGAATAGCCCTAAGAACAACGACGGCGATCGGCGAGGAGGGTCGCCATGGCTTCGCAGGGCTGAGAGGGGCAACAAGAGTTTTAATGAATCTCAATGAGGTCGTTGCGCTCTTTGTTTGCGCTGGGATTTAGCCAAACGTTGAGGGTGACAGGATTCGAAATTACTTTAGCACTGACGTGCCGGCTGCAACGGGCCATAACGGGGTGCATTTTAGAGCGAACACTTCGCTCATCGTAACAGGCGCGAGATAATGTCATTCATGGGCATTCACCGTACCCTCCGCTAAGCTATTCACAATGAATCATTATTACAGCGGACCTTTGTTCAGTGCGAAAGTAAGTGTACCTTTACAGGAAGTGGCGGACTAAGCGTTGTAATATACATATTAGATTACTCCCGTTTCTAATGTTAATGTTAATCACATATTCAAATATCGTAACGCTTCTGGAATATATTCCAGAAACTGTTAACAATGGAAATTTATATACGTACATACATCTTATTTCCGAGAAGATGTAATCGTAACTAGCAACGTAAAATTCTTATTTGTCAATTCCGTTTACGATCTTATTTACATATAATGGTCGTTTTATATTAGTTATACTTATGAATCTAGCGATATCGATCTCAGGAAGCAATTAAAATCACTGGTCCGAATCCTTCGAGAAAGGTACATATTTGCTTCTTCGAGTCCGTCTTTGTTACGCTTTACGAGTTGGAGGCCATTCCAATTTTCTGCAATAATGATTGTCATTACTAGTATATACATCCGCTTTGAGTATTTATCCCTTCCTTGAAACAACATGCACAGTGATAGAAGTATTTTATGAAAAATCAGTGTCCCCAGTGTGTTCGCAAACGAACGATGAAAATGCAAACGAGAGTAATTCTCGCCGGTTGTTTCGTGATCGTGATGTTCAACGACTTTGGCACGAGTGTCGAAGTTTCGTCGAAGATCGATTTGGATTCTAACGAAAATGAGGAAAAATTAGGTAACTCGACCTTCGGCACGGTCATAAATTCAAAGAAATCTGCTAGTCCACCGGAATCAGTCTTGCGTGCGCCTAAACCATCGACATTCATCTGGCGTAATGGCGAGCTCATAAAAGCAAGTGAACCGAGAAAAAGAAGGATCTATCCATCGCACGTGAGTAATGGACACAAAAAAATGATTACAATGGTAATGGTTACAAAAAAAATAATTACACAGTCTCGTAAATTGCGAGTTGATATTTATTGTCAGTTTTGTACAAAACAACACGAATGTATTGACACTGGAAGACAAAATTAAGAATAATGCAATTTATTTGATTAACTAATCCAAATATATGTAACAGAATTGATTAGATGACGTTCGTAAAGAATTATTTTCTTCAAGAATTATAAATTCTATATTTTTTTATAGGATAATTCAGCAAAACAACCAAAAATAATCAATAACATTCAAGTTGTTGTAAACACCAACGATAGTATACCAAGTGAAAATTCTTGCGAATATGGAATATGTAACGTGTCCGTTTCCTCGAAACCAGACGAGAATGGAAATATTGTCACCGAGGTGCATCTGAGCATTATCACGAAAGCAAAACTGAACACTAAGATCGAAGATGTTCCGGTAATCAATGGTTTTCGAGGTGTCAGTCAGGATGATAAACAACCAATTTTTCATTCAATAAATTCCCCACGTTCAATGCATACGCATTTGTATCGTAACAATATTCCACAGGTGACAAAATTTGTTTGTCTTGTTATATAAGATTTAATTTATATAAGAATTATTATTAGTGATTAAAACTCACTTTTGATGATCTATAATTTGTGCATAGATTTTAGAATTTTATTTATAATTTTATATGCCATTTAAATATATTTGAGTATTTTAATGCATATTTTATGTGCAAAAATATATATATTTTTTAATTTTTCAAATATTTTTTATAGTACATAAAATTATAAATCGAATTTTATTTCTTTAATAGTTTAATACACAAATAGAAAGGTCATCTAAAGTGAGTTTAAAACATTTATAATAAGTATCTCCCTTGTAATATTTTAATATTAAAAAAAAAATGCTCTTTTTCTACTGTAATAGATTCAAACTAATTATCATGGATATGGCCAGCCCTGGTACGGACAAACTTTTCGACAGCCGCAAATGTATTGGAATTATCATTTTGGAAATCAAGATAACGTAGGATTGCGGGATCAAAAAATGTGGCCGCGAGATAGGCCCGTAGTGGATGATAAGATTGAACCACCGCTTAGCAAAACCAAACCCAATGACGAGACAAATTATAAAATAATTTATTAAATTGTAAAGTATTAATAATGTAAGTACTGCTATAATATTCATATGGATCACGATTATTAAGAATTGTCATTGTAATAAAATTAAAAATTCATTATAAAAGCATCAAGAGTTCAGTTTATGTATTATATATATATATAGCAGATACAATAATAAGAATATATTTAAGTATAGAAATAAAAATTAAATGCAGAATAGTCAACTATTACATTTACTCGATATTACTCGAGTAGAAAATAACGCTAACATAAGAAAGCTTTAAGATTTGTCAATGTGTATCGCAAGCAATTCTCGCTCGCGGACAGATAAACAATCAAATTATTAACAATTATAGAAAATCATATAAAAGCTATAACTTTAAATTTCTGCACAAAAAGAATATTAGTTCTATAAGAAACTTGAGTATTTTGAGTATGTGACATCTTACAAATATTTGAGTCTGAGTTTCGAGAATCCTATGTCACAATTTGAATTTCTAACATCAACAATTTTGAATTATAAAATTATCATATATAGCACACGATAGTAAATTAATGATTTTAAAAATTAAAGACACAATTATGAGCGATTAATTTAATTAATCATGCACAGTGCGGAAAGAAACTCTTCCGTTGTCATTAACGCCAGTAATCGAAGACTTATGATTAATCGGCTTGCCATCCGGACCGGTCACGCTGGAGGAGCTAGAACTAGCAAATACTCCGTAGCTGTTACCCGATGGCGCGGGAAGATCATCAGCAAATCTGGATTCTATTCCTGGAGCAGCCTATGATGGAGAGATCGCCGGAGATAATAAAGACTATATTGAGAAGGCTGGCATCTGATTGTGTGCAAAATGAAGCATATTAACTGGACAATTTCTGTATTGCCATTTTTCGTGCGATAAAAAAAAAACGTAAGACTCACAGGATTGATTTGGCCACTCTGGTAACCACCGTATGGACCTAAGCCAATGCTGGCGCTCGCAACCTGCGGTACGCCACTGCCGTAATTCCCGTCGCCGCCGTAATTCCCGCCACCGTAATTTCCGCCACCGTATTTAGCGGCTTCGCTGGCCAAACGATTGTGGAAATCCATGTTGCTATACAATATACATTCATTTACGATATGCTTTAGGAATCTACATGAGTAATATAGCTTGCGATAGAATAATTAAAGATATTGGTGAGATGCGAATGCTTCTTCTCGGCCTTCATGATAAAAATCTATGGACGATTCCTAAAGTGAAATGATACGTGGGAGGAAACATCATCAAAAGCGCAAATAAAAACTTTACAGTAACCAATTATAGAGATAATGCTGTTTTGACATGAAACAAAATATTATAGACAAGAAGTTTAACTTTAAATTTAAAATAATTTGTTCGAAATATTTTTAAAAAATATTCCCTGAACATATTTATTAATAAAAGTAATCTAAAATTCATGTCTAGAGGAAAAAGAAATTTATTTTAATTACGTGACAGAATTGAAGAAGTTTCCTGTGTTAAATGTTAAAACGAGATCGAAATTGTATAAGGGCAAATGAGATTTCATGAAAAATAATTTCACAGAGAATTTCACTCAAATTAATTTCAATGCTTCGAAGCTTAAGATCAGTCATTTGCAACTTATATTACTCGAAGACTTACGCCTGATGTTGCGCCTCGATCTGCGCTTGAATTTGTTTGAACATATCAAGTGAGGGATCATTAAAATTGGGAAATTGTCCTGGATAAAAGAATCCGGGTCCTGCATTATACAACGGATCTGCGAAAAATAGAGTACACGATAAGATACAAATAACGGGATATCACGTGAAAATCATGCATATACATGCGATTACATTCAGTTATAAATTTACATAGACCAAAGTGTAAGTACCTAAATAAATAAAGAAATAAATATATGTATAAATGCACACACATAAATAAATAAATATATAAATAAATATATATATAAATGTACAAACGCACGCGTATATAAATAAATAAATAAATAAATAAATGTCGAAAATTATTATCACGACATTAACCGCTTTATATAAAATATAATTATGTTCGACAGAATATCATGCATTTTTAAAAGAACATCAGCACGACTTCGTCAAACAAATTTTGAGATACGTAATTCTGTCTCTTCTTTGCCTTTGCTATCCAATTGATTTCATTCTTTTTGCCGATCTTTTACAAACACCGAGAGAAATGTCCAAACCACAGCATGCAACCCCGATTCATTCATTATCCTCCGAAATTCTGAGTCAGTCTTCGTCCTTGGATCTTTGGGTTCATGCTCGTACCTCCGCCGAAATTGTATCCCTTCTGAGGCGAGTTATCCTTTAGTGAATTATCCTGGTTCGGTGAGTTATCCTGAAATCCTCCTCGATTATCGAGAGACGGTGATCCCATCGGTGAGGCCATCGTAGGAAATGATTCCATCGTCGGATAGCCCATTGTTGGATATGCCATTGTTGGATATCCCATTGTCGGATATGTCGGATATGTCGGATACGTCGGATACGTCGGATATCCAAAACTTCCGGCGGACGCGCCTGCAGACGCGAATCCTGGCCCGTTGTTTGTACCGGTCCATGCATAATTCGGGTTATAAGGTGGTGCATTGTTTAATCCGGGATAACCGAAATAGGGATCGAAACCTGAACCATAACCGCCAAAACCAGATCCGAATCCAGGTCCAAATCCGGGTCCGAATCCAGGAGCGCCAAAGTACGGTCCAGGAGTTGGCGCTTTGTCGTCCTTAGACGATGGTTCAGGTTTCTTAGTGGAGTCTTCAGGTTCGGGTTCATCGTTATTCGAGCGTGACTGAATGTCGCTCTTCGTCGTACTTTCTGGAGTTGTGCTAGTCGTTGGCGTAGTGGACGGAGTTGTTGGAGTAGTGACAGGAGTAGTACTGGCGGAGGTGGAAGTTGGAGTGGTTGTGGGAGACGTCGCCTCTGTGGTTGGTTCGGTAGTCGGGGTTGTAGGCGACGTTGGAGGTGTAGTTGATGATGGTGTGGTTGATGATGGTGTGGTCGATGACGGTGTGGTCGATGATGGTGTGGTGGATGATGGTGTGGTTGTGGGTTCTGTTGTCGAGGAGGTCGTTGTAGTTTCTTGAGTAGTAGTGGGTTTGGTGGTGCTCTCACCATTCGAATCATCGATTTCTCGCTTCAACCTGGACATTGCGGCAAAACGGGCCGGTGGTCTATCGACGCGTAGTCCTCCGTCTTCGAGAAACGAAAACAGAAGAGCAATTCTTTATCGATTGTTGCTGTTTGAGATGAAACTCGTATGATTCTCAGCTAGTTGAAATAGCATTGTTAGTGCAACATGTCTTGTGAGCGTATCTTGAAATTCCATCACCCGTGAGAACACGTAACGTGCCAGAAATATTACTAGTCACAATCACATAATTACAATATGCGTATAATAATTCTTAATATAACTGATAATAGATAACATTTAATAGATGTGTTATTGATCACAATATATTGCGCAAATAATGTTTAATAAAGGTAATATGTGGTTCTTAGATACACAATTTAAATATTATATAACATAATATTATATAAAGAGGCAATAACATTCGGGAAACGATATTTAAAAATCACTTAGATATAAAATATACGACAATAGAAATCTTGATTTTTAAATTCAGAATCCCTCTTAAACTAATTTATAATATTAACCATCAGTCTCTATCAAATTATTAAAAAATTTGCCAATTAAAATAAAGTTTGCAAATAAATTGTGCTTATTGCTGACTCATCTTCAACCTAATCGTAAATAATAATATTTAATTATGTGTAATACGTGATTGCGATAATTAATCAGGCAATTAATCATGCAATATTGAAGTTCTGCAGTCACGTTAATTTGATAAATCACGTATTACTGCATTTTTTTCGATAATATCACGATGTTTACAATCACGAAAAGTAAACTGATTTTTATGTAGTACGTTTCATTCATACATTTCATCTTATTTATTAATATCGTATTTAAATACAGCTATTAAAACATTTTTGGCTTACCTTTCTGTTATTCAATTATTTCATTGCTACAAAGACACATGTTATAGTATAAATTACCATTTTATATTAAAAAATACGTTTTACTGATAAATCCCTTCTGTTTAAACACATATCTTGATAAAATTAGTGCCGTATATTTTATATATTTATCAATAAGATAGGAATAATCGTGTAGTATATGAGAGATTACGAGAAGATAGTGAAAAAGAAAGTATCTTCTCGTGGGTCAAGGTAAAGGACGAAATGAGGTCACGGTCTGCGGGCGTCAAATTATCTTCATTTGGCTAGCAGTGTGAACAGTTACGCATGAATTTATATGCGCAGACGAGCATGCTGCAACACGGGAAGCGCTTGGTTGCACACGCGAACATCAATCTTGGTTATCACGATCAATATCGTTTTCAACAGTCGCGACAATTTAATCACGCGCAACATTGACGATATTAATACAACAATCCTCTATATTTCTAGACACTTCATTTTCATGGAGCAATCGGAGCAGATGATTTTTCAGTTACGACGAATAAAGTTATTTATACACATAGTAATTTATACACAAGCATGGTATTATTTTCATTTTCTAATTGTCATATATTTTTATATAAAAATTATGTTTATTATGTGAATAAAATATTGAGAATGACACAAGGCGTACATAATAAATTTTTAATTTTTTAATAAAAGCTAAAATATAATAATTATAGTTTAAATTTATATCATATATTTTTTTAAAAGTTACTATTAATAAATAACTAATTTTAAAAAAGAAGAAAAGAAACTAAATGAGTAAGTTACATCATGCAAATCAACATATTTGCACAAATAAATCGTAAATTATTATAAACTATCACAAGCTACTGGAAAAAAAAAGATTATTTATAGTGACCTAACGATGAGTCATTGGAATGTCTCTAAACAGTTTTTTGGCGAATTAGTGACTATTTATAGCAAAAGAGTTAACGCTGTAAATAAAGAGGATTACCATCTCGCGCCGTTTATTTTTCAAAGTATCACTATCTACAATCGTAAAACTTCTGAATGTTTACGTGCAGAAAGAGAATGTCAGCAGCTTAATAGTAAGCCTCCTCTTCGGCGTTGATTAAAATCATGAAATCACATATCCGGCATGTGTTATCGAATTCGTTGTATGGAATTTTGCCGCGTTTGCTAATCTCGCAATTATCCTGAAATTCCCGCGCACCGTCAGCTATTTTTACTTAAACACACGACGTTGCCATTATGTAACTTAACAGACTTTAATTTTTATTAACCTTGATGTTTGCAGCAACATGCAATTTCTTTTGAATAATTTCATTCGGTTAACTATACTATTAGCACGGCAGAACTAGTTCGAATTCATTTATACATACTACGTCACATTCGATTGCATAAAACTAAAAAAATTCAATAAAAGTAATCGAAGATGTGTATGTGTGGAAGAAAAAAAATGTTATTATGCATTGAATTCATGATTTCTTTTAACTGTAATGAATATGTTGCTTTCTAGCATGTAGTTCATCTTTCCACTTTGTTTTTCTAAATGTTAGTATATTGTAGCAAACATTTATAATAAAAAATTAAAAAAAAAATAAGACATTCTCACACAAAAATATTTTAATATTAAGATTGTAATTTAATTATGGATCTTAATTGCGGAAAACAATTAATGTCGAAATATCTGTGTTTGAACATACAGAACATTAGTAAACAAGCGAAAAAATTAAATTCGCTCGTAAGTGAGAAAAATAATGTCCCACGCTACTCACTTCCATAAGGATAACCAAAGGCGGATCGAGCCTCCGTAAAGGATCCTAGAACAGCAACGAGGGCAACCAGCGCGAAGATCTTGCTATCCATCTTTCTAATTGTATCTAGTCGGTGAAGCAAGTCAACGCGGAAAAACCGAGAAATCGTAATGCTTATGTATATTATTGCTAATTATTTATATGTCACCACTGTAATCGCGTAAAGACCGAATGATCCTGATGTTGTCGCAGACTGCGAAAGAATGACTGACTCAGCTGGTGCCGCGATCATCTTATATAGCGTTCACTCGTATTGGCACTTCATTACCACCTCATCCTTGCGATAGCGCGTTCGTGAAAACTTTAAAAGAAATTTTACGTCATACCACCGATAAGCATCGCACACATCGTTATCCTGACATGTTTCCAAAACTTTATCTACATTTATTGCAGCAAAGTTACTGTACATCAATTTCACTCGTAAGCAATTCCATTTTTTAATGTTATTTTGATAAAAATTCGCGAATAAAATTATTTTTTAATCTCGCAATAATATTGAGTTAAAAATAATTGTATCAACATTGGTAATGGTTTTAAATAATTTTACTAATTTTTCTTTTTGTGCAGAAATTTTTGATATAGCTTTCGGTAAAAAAAAAAATATATCATTAAAGCCTATTTACGTAGAAAGTAAGATCGATATTAGTAAAACTCATATTTCTTTGTTTCTACAATCGTTCCGCATTCGTTTAATTTTTACCGTGAATCCTGCTTGTCTTAATAGAATAGAATTTCTCGGACCTTAACAGTGATCTTGCTTGTTATACCACGCCGTCCAAATTCCTGTTACGTTGCTTTTATTTGGGAAAAACACAGTTCTACAACTTGCACCGCGATAACCCTGCGATAGCAGCGTAAGTAAGGAAATAATCATGGACGGCTGAAATGTTTTCATTTGATCATCGATATGTAATCGCAGGATGCAATATCGAAATAATACATTCGACACGTCTGTAAAGGAGAGATCGTAAAGGATTTTTCCATATAGAGAAGTCAGAGCATTAATTATATAGTTAACTATATAGTTTTTCATTCACGCGAGTTTTTAGCGAGCATTTGCATTGATGAGGCTCAAGTTATCGCGTTTATATGCGGAATTGCAATGAAACAGAAAAATGAAGTATTTTTCCATAGTGTTTAACTGATATACATATATGCAGATATATATTTGTTTCGTCTCGTTACACAGAATACACCAAAATATATATTTGCTTTCACAATATTTATCATCATAATATTATTTTCTTCTATAATTTTGATTTTCTGTAATATATTTCGTAATTTTTTCTAATGACTTTCTCTAAATAATGTACAACATGTTTCACGTAATACCTATCCCGGAAGGGTTTTAATTTTCAATTATGTACATATCGGACGCTATTAATACTAATTGAAATAATCAATATGTCTTTCAATTTATTCCTTGCTTATGATTGAAAGAAAAATGCATTAGATAGTATCGAGACTTAGACAGTATAAGCACATCGCTGTTTAAATATGTCTAATATCTCTTTGAGATATCAGAATATTTCTCCGTGACCTATCACATTCTGTATAATCTGATTACAGGTAACTTTAGCTTCCTTTAATTACGAAATCCAACACTATATATTCATCGCTATCAATCATCATTTTTTCACCGGTCGATATTTCACCCAGTATCGTCATTAATAGCGACAATTTGCGCGTGTAATTGTTTTATAAATAATAATGGCCTGTCACCGGGATGATCGCTGGTTTCCACATCCTGTTAGACTGATAATCGATCCAGGATAATCGCGATTACTCGACTCTCTGGCCCCCTTAAACCCGCGCCCGAAGCTCGAGCGCGTATTTTCCAATCAATCGATCAGAGTAATCCTACAAACGATTGATTATCGGCTAGCAGCTAACAAATTAGTACCCTCTCAGTTGCATTCGCGGAACTTCTATGCGCAGTGATGTCTCATTCAAACGAATTATGGTCAGCATGAGTAAAATGTCTTAACGCGATGCACCGCCTTTTACTCACGATATTGTTGCTCGTTTAGTCACGGCGCGACGTGACTCAGGGGCGCACATATTTCGATAAAAATTTTCCATTCCGGTGAAAGATAGTGGAAAAAAAGCTAAGGAGTTGACGTTAACACGAAACAAATAAGTATTATTCACGTTGCAGAGAAATTTAAATTTTTGTACAATTGCATTAATATATACTAATAATACCAAGCGCATTTCTCTATACAATTTCTTTCTCATTTTGTCTTTTAATGTATAATTAAGTAAAAATATTAATTATATAATAAATGGTATTCCAATTTGTGAAGTAATTTTCGTTTAATCAATTTAATTTCATTACCATTTAATAATATTCTATTACAAAACGAGAGTGAAATGTAAAAATTACAAAACAAAATTAAGTTTCTCTCGAATGGATTAAGTCCAAGAACTTTATAATTGATATGTTTTGGATTCTCAATAATAAAGGTCGAAGATATCCGAAAATTCTTTCCAGGATTAATCGCTCGTTTGCCTTGCTAGACAAACTTTTTTCTATTTCAAATAATTGAATGACGCGGCTATTCGGGAAATACCCATCGCGGAACTTGATTACCTTCTACGCAATAATCTGACAGATGCTTTGCGCCTTCCTGACCGCCCCATTGTTTTCGAAAGTAGGATACCACGCTTCGTCTTCGAGCAAAACAAGCGTGACTTGTAGCCAAGTGTGCACGTATTCTATATAATATATTATATATTGATTCATCCTGATCTGTTCAAAGTCAAGATCTATGCGAAACTAAAATTATATAGCATATTTAAAAGATTTTCGTAAAGAGTACAATTTTTATCTAATTAAATAATATTTCTTAATTAAAAATATATGTCGATATATCCATCTATTTCCTAAATATGAAAATTATAAAGTATTTTTAATTGTGACAAATTGAATTAATCTGTGCCATAAATTATAAGATATTAAACAACAAAAAATCTATAGTACCGATTTATAATAAATTATTGGAATATATTATTATTATAAAGAGTATTCTCCAAAAATGTTGTAAACTTTACATTTATCGATACTTTTGGCGTTTGTTAAATATAATCTAAAGCACAAGTTAAGAAATGCGCAGTTGCATTCCGCGAAATAACTTTGACTTTACGGCTACGTTTCAAGTTCATTGTCGGAGCGAAGCGTGTTTAACCTTGCTTAATCATCTGACTCGATGGGTATTTCGTGTAGCCTTCTAGATTTGTATGATTCGTTATGCATTATTAATGATTGAAAGACGTGACATTCTTCATTTAAAGACCAATGACCTCAGCATATTCAATCATTAAGACGGGTGGATATTTAAATAATTCATGTAACGCGTAACTTTCTCTTTCGGATATACTCAATTACGAATGATCGAAACGAATTCGCGTGTAATGCAATCGAGGATTATGTCAAGGAATTTAAATGCATTACGATTCTTTTTCCCGGATATCCGTCGCTAGCAGCGGCAAATATTTACGAAAAGTGCAAGTTTCGTAACAGATTTATACTTGTAAATGTATACTTCTCGGTATTATACTTACATATAATTGACGAGGCGTGTTTACCTGTTGCTGAGCAAACAGAGAATTACTGTACGTTCGTTTTTCCATTATTCTTAGGAATTTTTGGGAATCCCGATAAAAGTATGCCTTTTTCAACTTTTAGCAGATAACACTTTATCTTTATCAAATTCTTATGGTAAAACGCGTGTACAGATACAAAAAGTAACAAAGAGTAGACCACTAACTTATTCTTAGAAGCCAAATATCTGAAGCTGACACGAAGATTCACATCAGCTTGATAATAAGAGATCTATGTTTCTCTGACCGTATATAAGTCGGGGGTACCTAGGAAAGCTCAGTGAAGCTTGCTTTCTTGCTTAAGTGCTTACTCTTACTTGTAGCTCAAGAAATCCAATCGAGCGAAATCATGAAGTGTTTTGTAATATTAGTAATATTCGCCTTTGCGCAGTATCAAGGAACAACAGGTAACAGCTATCATATTTTGTTATACTTTTTCTAATATAATCAGTTTTTGCACAATAAATTGTGCAATATAAAAAAATAGACACGACAAATTATTTGTTTACCATTTTAAAATACTGAGATCTCAATGTGAAATGTAAATAATTGTCCACATTGAAAGTTCGCGCGATTGTTGATTAATGTATAAGCAAAATATTGTAAACGCAAAATAATTTACATGAAAAGGAACTACGTTTGAGTTTACGCGCTCGCCGGATGTCAGGAATATTCTTATATCAATTAATGTATTCTTTTAATGAATGAGTACTGTGTGGATCACACAAATAATATTATAGAACGTAAAATGCATATGCATTTTTAATTGACCGCAGATGAAGAGAATGCCGACAGATAAGTGATCAATTATGCACGTATGAATATAATTAATTCTTGTGACTTATACGACTGTGATAAATCAGAATATATTCCGCGGAGAAAGAAATATTACAAGCGGGAATACCTTTAATTAATCGTTAATTCTCTTCTTTGTATTAGAAATACAAATGATACCTATTGTATCATATACATATATATGTATATAAAACCCGACAAATATGAACATTTCGGGACACAAAGAAAAAGAAAAGAAAATCTTGTGTAAAAATACATCTAACATGCTCATAATTATAATATATTAAATTTTCTTATATTGCTAATAATAATGCATAAAATCTTAATAAATTATAATTATGCATTGTCACGTATATATATAATAACGATATTTCAGAAATTGCGATATTTTTTCTTCATGATTTTTTGATAAATCTTTGATAAGTTTAGAATTTTAATTTTAATGTATTTTCACTAGATAAAATTTAATAAAAGCACCAAGTTGTATTTTTTAAAATATTTCATATATAAAAATTAATTTAATATTTCTTATAAAAAAATTAATTTAAGTATGTATTGTATAATGTAGGTCTTCCCTGTGAAAAACACAACGTATTGCATCGCGTAACACTTAATCCAAGAGATGCATACACAGAGGTAATTGGTGAAATTAACAAATACGAAAAATCCAATCTTCCACTATACCGTGTACTCTCACAAGTAATAGAGGATACTTCACTCTACACAGCACACGAACCAAAAGTCACAGCGTCGCTTTTCAAACTAATACAGAATAACTTTAAAAAGATGATCGACAGTAAGTTTTTGAAATAAATACACAACGATTGTAAAAAATACATCTATTTATCTACTATATAAACGGACATGATAATTGAATATTTATTATAGAAATAGAGAGTATTATTACAAAGTATGGATTTAAGAAAGATCCATCGATATCTGAGACCATCGCACCAGTCGTTGAAACGCAAACTGAGAACATCGCATCAACCGTTAAAACGCAAGTTCCAACGATAAATGTAACTCCAACAGCTTCTACAGTGGGCACATCGACAGTCCCTCAACACTCTACGGTAGTTAGTTTATGTATCACATCTTAAAACATTATCAAAAATATAAAATTTTAATCGTTCCATTATTAAATCTGTTTGTAAAAAGTTTGAGTACATCTCTCTTATTGATTTAAAAGTTATTTGATTTTTTGTTTATATTTTTCTTATGTAAAATCACGTTTTGTACTAAGTATTTGCAAATTTGATGAAGAAGTAGCATTACGAATTAAATCAAATTTTTTACACGTACTAATAAAGCTCTAATAAATATTTATGCGAAGGTTCATTGGATTCACTTACTTGTTTAAAAGTTACTTATTTAAAACTGAAGCAAAATATGATCATTGGCGCTCCATAAACCATTATAAGCTAAATTATTCTTTTGTTCTATTTATTACAGACTTCAGAGAAAGAGCATTCAGAGTGAACACCACTCAGTGCCAGATTCACCTATAAGTATGGTATGTTGAATTTTTTGGAAGTTTATTTTTGCTTCTTTTTCGCGATTGATTTTTTCGTTGCGTTTACTTCGTAAACGGTTATCATCGCATATCTTGACAATTGTATCGAGGGATTAGTGTAATAACAACAGTGTATAATTGTACACATAATTAATTGTACACATTTAAGCAAGTATTAAGCAAGTGTAAGGAAAAGTGTAAAAAATAAAAAGCTAAATAGCGAGCGCGAGGCATCTGTGACGTCTAATAAATATTTTTCGTTTGACCAAATAATCTTTTGTCGTTTTTCTTTAGTTTTTTTTTCAAATTCATATAAATTTATATTTTTTAGGCCCCCCTCAAAATTGTTTCATAGGTCCCTCTCAAATAGGTCCATAAAGAAACGAAGTTTGAAAATAACAAGGATTTGTTAACATCTGAGAGTACTGCATCAAACTACTCAACGGAAGAGAACGCAACTCGAAAACCTACGCCAAATGAAACACATCTTAAACCTGTGATATCTCAACACGTCAAAACAGCCCTGCAGACGACACTTCTGCGTTGGATGCCGACACTTCCAACGCTTCTATGAATCTACAAATTTATTTACGCCAATACTCCTCCATACGATAAAAAGACTATTGAGGTAACATTGATTAACAATAAATAAAACGATCAGACGAAAGAAACATCAGCCTGAAACACCAGTCGAAAATAAAAGAATGCCAACAGTCTCGTTTCACTTAATCGTAACAAAGTTGCTCGAAAATAATAAGAGTGAAAAAAGTACGGCTTGTCTAAACAAGAAAAAATAAGACACAGAAACACGGAATCTTTGATCTTGCATCAGTAAATTATCATTAATAAATCCGTTTATAAGAAAATTATAAGAAAATGTACTGACTCTTTATATATTTTCATAATCAAGTGTTTAAATTTTTTATTCAATCAACTTCTCTTTTTGAGTAACTTCTAATTTTAAATAGTTGCTGTAAAAATCATATTTCAAAAACTCTTCTTATATCTGAAAAAGAAACATTACGCAGCAGTTCTTATTTTTAAATTAGTTTTGCGGACTATATGATTAATTGATTTAAATAGTTGCTACGTTTTCTTATTTTCAACATGTAACCTTAAAAGATTATATGTAATCTAACGTATGTAATACTCATATTATAATAAAATAATTCATATGTAATCATATAAATAATCATTGTATTTTTTTTAACCTTAACCATAATCGATATTATAGAATTCTGCAAAATTATTACAATGAAAATATACATTAGTGTCATAAAAGATTAAAAAATTATCGTTCCATTGAAACTCGATTATAATCCATTCCAATTTAATGAGGTGTACGCTAAATAATTCGAAAAGTTTATTGATCATTGGTATTTGTTGGTCATTGAAAATTATAATCCTGTATCATTCATGATTCGCGTCACTGCGCAACAATTCACGTGGAGAATTACGTAGATGAACGCGTCCTGCATTTTAATAATGACTCTAAGGTCGTGCGTGGTTATTGAAAAAGGGCAGGGCGATGGCGCGATCAAGTCAGAACGTTTTCAGACATGGCGAAGAGCATCGGTAGTATTCTTTTACTAATATTCGCGCTGTCGTTTATATGGGCAGGTGAGAGAAATATCTGTGGAAAATGGAAAAATATAAGTTGCTACATATATAGATGTTGAACATGTCGATAAGAAGGAATTTATGTGATAAGTGCAGCAAGAATCTATATTGCGAGTGCTACTGAAAATATTCTTTTTAAACCTGTTGGGTGTGTCGTCGATATTGTATTCGTTCCGATATTCATAAAATTTTGAAAATTTCTACATCACGCATAGATAATAATGTTAATTACCGAATTCTAAGTGTCTTAAACACATGAAAATTGTCGTCAGTATTTTTTATCAGTTCAATATTCACAAAATTGAATAAATTAGTATAATTTAATTTCAATACTGTGATAGTTTCATTCATTTTTATTCATATTTATACACACATGCCAACAATATCTATTCTGTTGCAAATTTACACGAGGCATAGAATGAACGAGCAAATGTGATTAATTTTTTAAAATTATTCTGATGACGTTTGTTCAAATATAAATAGACATGCAAATTTTATAATTTACTCGTTATAAAATATATTATATTTTCCTGATTATAATGAGAATAAATTTGCTTAGAATTTAGTAGTACTTCAGAATTATTTAAATCAAGTCTTACAAATTTGTTAGAACACGAATCGATAATATTTATCATAATTAATGATGTTACGACCAAAAAATTTACAAGAGTTTTGTGTATACGTGTTTGACTTTAATATCAATCCTCTTATAACTGATGCAAGCATGTAATTTGGTGAAATATAAGAATGCTTGTGTACGCTTTCTTCCAAATGCCTAGAATGGCTCGAACAAACGCTTTTTATTGAGCAGATGAACACGAACGACGATGGAACACGCCGCCAGAACTAACGTCGGTCGTCAAGATCTTAGACAATGAGGAACCCCAGACGCGTCTTCTTTCCTTCATTCCCGCCACAACGACTGTCAGTTTAAACGCAGGGAATAACAATGCACACTCTGTCAGCCTGGGTGCGGGTCTCGACGGTATTAGCCTTTCGGGAAGTAACAGTTACAATCATCCTAAGGGATATGGGTGTGTATAAAATGATATGGTATATAATTTAGAATTCGTTTGTAATTGCATTCGAAAGAAAAGCCAAAAAAATAATTACGAGCAGAAACATGAAAAGAGCGCAAAAATAATTAGAAGAATTTAACGTTTCTCCAATACTTCTGTAATGTAGTACCTATCTATTTTAAGTAAAATAGTATTCGTTCCGATTATTTTTCGATTATTACCTTCAGAGATATGAAATTCAATTTTCTTTCTTAATAGCGTACATGTATAAAAGACAGTTGCCTTTCAGATCTTCCATTTCCGTAAGCAAATCGGCGACCGTTTCCGCGGGATTATCGGGAATTTCTACCGCGAGCGCGGAAGCTTATAGTAACGGTAACAATGCCAAGACTGAAAGCCACTCGTTCAGCTTTGGTCAAGCAACTGCAACTTCTTTCGGAACGAACGAAAATGGACAAGCGATTACTGGCGCTGCATCTTCCGCTGGTACCTCGCAATCCTCTACAATTGGTGGTAATCATAGACAATTTTCGCAAGCTGGCACCGTGAATGTGCGATATCCCTATTCGTCCACATGGAGCAACATTAGTCCAAACAACGGATACAATGGTATGAGTCTAATTATAGATCACGTATTTATTTTGCCATCGTACAACTTTCGAATTATTAAAAAATTAATTAATGACATGTATCAAAATGCGATAGTAATAAAAAATTAAAATTGTCATTTCAGATCACCGTTTTAATCGGCCAACATTGACTATTTCAACAAAACCGCGCGATGAAACATTGCCAACATTGAATATCGACGTGTCTAGCACATCCAATACAAGACAAGAACAAGAGCCGACGGTTCATATCTACAAATGGCGACCGAATCATAGGGTTTCCCGGCCAGATTTCTCGATTGACTTTCAGCTGCACGATCCTAGGAACGGTCGAACTCATGGATCGCCGAGTCTTCAAATCGAAAGCAAAGACTCTAAAAATTCTAAACAGGGGTATTCCGACAGTGATTTAATTTCTGATCTCGCAGAAACCGTTGGTGAATTATTTGATATTGTATAATGAGTGTAAAAACAAAAATCAATATGTATTTTACATTTATAGTATCCCGCTTCTTCTTTAACTCATCAGTAGTTACGGAATCAATCAAAATTTGGAGATGCTATTTTTGGAAATAGATACCTAAATTTTTTAATTTAAATAATTAAATACAAATCATTTTTCATAAAAATATTTATTAAATAGACTAATTTTTAATATTTTAAATTTATCACTATTGATAGTTTGCAATTGTATTTTTATAGTAAAAATAACAAACCGCGTCTGATAGAGAACTACAGTAGTAGCTACCGATGACAGTATCAATTGCTATATGATAGCAATTCGAGCGCGCGATTCATGACGTAATTTATTATTTCTTCTCTTATTTTAAAATTTCCTACTTCATCGTGTTTCCAGGAAACTGATTCGCGCGAAGATAAATTGTAATGAGATATGAACCTTGCTCGCTGTGAGGTTAAAAGAATTAAAAGAAAGTAATGTATTGAGAACTTTATAAATTTTCGATTGTGACACCCTGTAGATAGAAATAAAGTATATTGAAAAATATATGTTAAATACATAAAAAATTAATAAATATATGAAGATAGATATTTGAAAAAAATTAAATATTCTTGTTTCATTTGTTAAAAAAATTAATGATAAAGCTGCTTCATTTCTGCAGCTATATACTATTTATATAATATAGTTTGTAAAATGTATTTTATAAATGTGTTCTCAAACCATTAATTATTAGACACAAAATGATAAATAATTCATATTTATTCAAAGAAATCGACTAATTCTTGAACTTGGATTATTTTTAAACGTACTATATAATAAAAATGACTGTGCTGATCAGTCATCCTTACGAAATGATAGGTCAAGATATGATCTTGAACTCATCGCGACATCTTTGAAATAACCGATGGCCTGAATAACTTAAGAAATAACCGAAGTCTATCTTATCGACGACTTTGATCATTTTTTGCAATAGTATCAGCAGACGGTACGTGAGTTAGAATAACGGATAAACGATAGTGTAAATTAGATATTAATACATTTATATGTGTTTATTAATTATTAAAATTCGGCGTTAATTCTTTCAATAGAAAGGACATCTTCTTTCGAATACGTCTTAAGTAAAAGTAATGCACTGATAATAATATAGTGCGGAAAGATTTTTCTATAGTCAGCAAGGATTTATAACATTTATCGAAGAAATGTTTGAAAATGTCTTTTTAATAATAATAAATACCTCATTTATTTTTAAAATTGCAATTTTAAATTGATAAACATGTTTATCAATTAGGATGATTTTTGACTTAAATTAGCCTTTTGAAAAATTACAATGACGTCGTAGCACATTTTATTTCCTCAACTTCATCAAAGCGTACCGAAGATAGCAATTAATCATATACGGATTTAAAAAAAAAAATAACACTTATCTTTCCACGAATTCAACTTCTCGGAAATGTTGCGCGAAGAAGGAACACTAATATAAAAGAGTATATGTATATAGATAGAAAGACTTTTTGCAACAAATAAAAAACGATCAGTCAAAATCATGTTTAAATAAATGCTCATCAATCTAATTCATCTTCTTTCACAACTATAAAAATTGTCTATAAAAATTGTAAAATTGTTGATAAAGAGATATAAGACGAATAAATCAAATAAGTTATCGGTGAAAGTAACACCGAATCTATGGCATTTGCGTAGCCTGAAATGCCGATGCCGATGCGATTCAAGGTCTCAAGCACTGACTCACCGATCGTCTCGGTTTGACTCACAAAAAGCTACGGCGAAAATAATTAGCGTGAAACCGGTCGAATCCGCGATTCGATTATTTGCACTCTATACGAGTATAACGAGGAGCGAACTGACATTTGTCTAAGGGGCGTAAGGTTAAAGCCTATCGATAGATTTTTATTTGATAATAACGCACCAGTTAATAACACTGTGGCACAATGTCAAGCGTAATAAAGATCATGTAATAACCGATAATCAGCATCTCCTTTTTTTTCCAAGAAATTCACATAAAGTTATCAATAAATGACCGCGTCGAATGACTAATTCGCTAATAGTCAAGAAAATCCCCGCGGCACTTTAATGCATAATTAATTTTTTTAGACACGATAATTGTGCACACGTGCTTACGAACAGCTTATACATATATATTTATTATCGTTTAATTGTCCCCATATTCGGGAAACTTATTCTTTAAACATTAATATTTTTGTCGTAAATTAAATCTTTACAAGATTTTTTTACTTTTCTTTTTATTCTTAGTTCATGTTGTACTAACCGTTTCTCTACACATAAAAATCTTTGCAGAGGTGTAGATACGTGTATATACTTCAAACAATTGCAATAACAAGTCTCATCTCTGTTAATTATCTAGCCTTTATGGACTTTTTTGTATGCTTGTTGTTAAACCAGTATGTGCAGTATCGCTGATTTATATCGATATTAAGTTCGAATCGCGAGAAGAATCTAAACAAGCGCATAATGCTGCTTCTAAATTTTTCCGAAGTAATCTTGTTTTCAAGATTCGCGCATTTTAATACGTCGTAAGCATCAATTATATCGATATACATACTTGCGGTATTGCGTATAACTGGAATGATCTACGTCACATAAATATGCAGCCATAAATTATTTGCAATGATAATACGTGCTTTAGCGATGTTCTTCATTTAGGATACAGAATACCGCATTACTACTACGAAATGTATGGCCCGTTAATAAACGGACCCTTCCCCGAAATCGGCGTCGTCTTTCAAAGGAATTTTCGTCACGACTCTCCATCATTGGCGATTATAACTGCTAAATCTGATTTACCTTGATCTCAGCCAAGGCCAAACGAACTCCGCATTCTTTTATAGTCAACAGGAAGATGATTTGTGCTGTCGGCGGCTCATGCGGTTTTAGTTACGCACAATTCAAATAACCGTACGTCTGGTGTATCGGATACACCAGGTCGTTCTTAGTAAGAATCCCCGCGGGTACAATTACGAAGATCATCCCAGAAAATCAAATTTTCAAGCCATCACATTTTTTTTTCTCGGAAAATCTAATTATTTCCGTTTGCAGACGAGTCTATTACGTTATTGAAGACGTCAGTAGAAAGTGTTGTTAAAAAATACATACATTTTAATTGATATGTTGAAACACACTCATATTATATGACGCATATAAAAGCAGCGATAAGAACAGCGGCGATAAAAACATTAATATTATTTTATAATATTAAAAAAGCATATGTGTAATTATTTTTATTATAATAATTATAATATTATATAATTATTATAATATTATCGATTAACAAATAACCGGTTCTATTAAATAAATTATATATATTTATCTTATAGCATTAAAAATTAATATCACGTTGTCATGTAGATAATTGATATGAATAGAATTAGAAACGGTAATTTGATACCGTTTCTAATTCTATCTTATCGTGAAAAACAATTGTAAGTTACAAAACGCGAAATACAAACACGATTAACGACCATCAACAGGTATGTATTAAATTATTTTTTGTCGTTAAATCTAAAAAAAAATACGATGTTATTACATCATGCATTTGCTTAAGATACTTGGAAACTCATATCGTTGTTTTTATATGCAAGGTGATACCTTCGTGATCGATGATAGAGGATAGGGTATGCGAAAATTTACACATAGCAAAATTGACACGCAATAACGTGATTGCAACGGGTTTAACCGCAACGAAGCAAACAGGAAATATTAACCGGATGGTTTGCATACGCAACTTGAACGTAATTCCGAGCGTCAATCACTACACAATTAATTGTTTCGTATTAAATTAAAGTAAAATAAAAATATTAAAATAACATTAAAGAAATATTGATAGAAATAATATTCATTCTAAAATGATCACATCGATAGATTTTTAATCGAAGACGAAATAACTGCAATGTTAAAAGAATTCAATTAATTTTCGATACAAAGACCACAGAATTACGTGTTTTCTAAAGCTCATCCTATTTGTGTCGAAACGTTTTGTTGGATTGCAAGAGGCAACGCTAATTAGGAACAAATATATGCATGCTCGAGTTGGGAAATCCTAGCGAACGTCATTCCATGAAGCTTAATGTATGGAAACTGTTTAATTGCAATAATAGCTCGACGCCGGGGAATCATTCTACTATTCAATAGTCAAGTGCCTAACATGACGTCGCTTATAAAAGACTACGTATGTACGTTAAAATATATGCAGTGAATAAGTGATATATATATATATATATATATATATATATATATATATAGTGAATAAAAATGTGAATAAGATTGTTACTGGATTAATGATGAGTTAATGAAGAAGCCTATTTATGCCTATTCTGCATGAAACACCGTTCAGAAAAGGTAATTACCGGTTGATGCAATTTCTGTGTAATCATTTATTAACATATTTTAGTAGCTCTATGACGATCAGATCCTCATTCCTATTATTTCCTATCGTTTCCTCATAGATCTAACAGCGCCTTGGGTGCAATAAAAAGTGGCTAATTGGCTATTAATTTCTACGCTATTAACTTTTATGTGTCACACACCAGCTATTTTGTTCTCATTAAAATTGATATTATTTTTATGGTAAGAATTCTGTTATTCTAATGATATGTCAAGAAGAATTTTCTTTGCATCTCCTTAACGTTATCGTGACACAACGATCGACGATGAAAAACCACAAGACGATTATTTGCACACAGAAATTTATACAGGCCGCATATTAAATTATCAAGTTCATTGCTTCCTCGCTTTTTTTTCAGTTTCATTCTGTGCTCGTCTCAATAGCTCGTTTTCGTTGACACACATGATTGCATCGTCGTCTCGGCGAAAAGTGTTTCAATGCGCGCGTGCACGCGTGCACTGCCGGGGACTCCCTCGGAAAATCCAAAAATCAGCGTCCGGCGCTCGGCGCGGCGCGGCGTGCAACGCGCGGAGGAAAGCGGTGGAGGTGGCACGTTACATAATTACATCAGGATCAAACGCGTGTCGGACAGATGACTATAAAAGCGGCGAGATTAAAGGATTAGCATGCAGTGCATCCTGGGAACATCGAATCCCGTCACTATGGCAGCTCGCGCTCTTAGCCTAGTACTCCTGTTTACATTTGTCACGGTCATCTTCGGATTGCCGACTTCTTTGCCAGGTGAGAGAATAGAGCGTTCACTGCGTATGAAAAATTTAATAATGCGATGCTGTAATTATATTTGAATAAAAATCTTTTCGTATATAAGATACGTTTTACTTCTTCGAAAAATCATATATTTAAATTTTTTAAGTTTTATATATTTCAATAACAATTAAATGAATTTTTAGCAATCATTTAATTCAATATATTAACTTTAATTGTAAAAATTTTTATCTGATATAAAAACAATATTTGTAATAAGCTACAAAGCCTACACGGAAAGAACGATTTTGCTGGATTCAGATCTGAAAATAATTTTTGTTATACAATCAAAATAATTTTGTTGGAAAGTCAAACTGATTGCTAGAATATCAAAATGATTTTGTTGGAAAGTTAAAAATGCTTAGGATCAGTTTTGACTTTCCAACAAAATTATTTTGATGATTCAACAAGAATTATTTTCACATTTGTGTTTAGTAAAATTTTTAGACCTTCCAGCAAAATCGTTCTTTCCGTGTAATAATGTAATTTTTTTTAATAACATTATCTATTATTTTAATATTTTTTCATGCAACTTTGCAGACTTTATCACTTTATATACTTTTTATATAAATAATAAAAATTTGATTCGCATATATAATATATTCTGAATGTTTTACAGTAAATCTCTTATTATCTGTGTTGTTATTGCTTGAACAGTTCTGTGTTCATTCGTCATAAATTTACATGTTTCTTTGAAGAATTTGAAGAGCAGCGAGCTTCATGATCTATTCATATGCAACAAGCAAGATTATGTTTGTCTTCGAAAATAACAATGATGTCAGGATGCGCGCGTTGGTACACAAATCCCATCGTTAGCTTAATATTCTTCATACGTCAGTTTACGTCAATCGATTTTTTTTTCTGTTCGCGTAATGATCATTTCCTTTTTACACGATTATCAGAAGCAGCTGTAGCAACACATGAAGAACACACATTGTCAACCGAGCTGCTACCGCCGCCCGTAGACGAGAAGGAAGGAGAACACCATGCTACAATCTATATCATTAATCTGTACGCTGTAAAAAATGGTAGCAGCAACGCGTCGGAGGAAATGTTCCAAAACGAAGTCGTGGAAACGATACCTGACATAATGGGTGAGTGCAAATCAACAAACGACATACGGTGTCTCATATCTCATTGGATTTAATAAATTCCTTTTGACGTTAATTATTTGCAAAATAACGATTATCTTATACAAAACGATAAGCAAGAGCGAATGCAGGAAGAAAATTCTTAGAAGGAATTCTTAGAGGGGATTTGAATAAAAAAATATATATGCTTGCAGAGCCGCTGGTCTCGGTTCTCCTAGTAGTAGAGGACGATGAAAACGAAGAGTTAGAAAAGCATCCGCCCGTCGACCTCGACGAATTTGCGGAGGGATTGAAAGGCCAAGGTTTCAAGGTCGACAAGATTGATCTTAACAGCAAGGCGAAGGTGCTTAAGATGAAATTGGAAAAGACGGAGGCGCAGAGTATGATAGACTCGGCTTTGAAGGGTAATGAGAAGAGATACCGTCAAAAAAGGACCATCTGTTACAAATGCGGCGGCGGCGGAGGATGGGGTGGGTATCCGAGCGGGGGTGGGCATTATCCTAGCGGTGGCGGTGGAGGGGAATGGGGTGGGTACCCGAGCGGGGGTGGACATTACCCTGGTGGTGGTCATTGTCCCACTTGTGCAGGAGGAGGAGGTTATTATCCTAATGGTGGTGGCGAAGGTAAGTTACAGTCCTAACTGCAAAGGGGAAGTAGCTACAACAAAACGGGCGAATACTTCTCTATGCTTACTTCGGTATTAAAGCATGCCCTTGGACTGCTGTATACTGCTCTTTAAACTACAGATTCTTGCTATTCTTGGCTAATTTAAAACTGATTTTTTTTCCAAATAAAAAATCAGTATCAAATAGATGTAAGACTTTCGAAAGACTAAGCTTTAAAAAGTAAATGGTAATCTTATCTTTTCATTAATTTAAAATTTAATAAAAACTTTCTTTCTAAACTTCTTCTTTCTTTCTGAAACTTTCTTTCTTTCTCAATTTTAAGCTCTAGAGCGATCAAACTAGATGTCCTTAAAACGATTAATTAATATTCGACACGACTTTGAAATATTTTATGTACCAAAATTACTTTTTAACATAACTTTTTTAAATCCGAATCTATATGTAACTAAAACTATTTTATATATCAGTTAATAATAGCTATCCAGAATTTTCGTTAAAATATTGCATTAATTATTGCAAAAGTAAACAGTTTGCTATGCATGTTTCTAAGAATTGAAGCGCATGTTTGATTTTCCTCTGGATTCTTGTAAATATGAAAACTAGTAATTGCATATTTTCCTCAACTTTTTGCATGCATTATCTTGAATAAAACATAAGTTGTCAAATAAGAAGTGAATTATTAATCGCGCATACTCGCGCATCATGCTTTGAAGAATCTCGTTTGAAAATAACGCTTAAACACTAATGACAATTTCAGGATGCTTCATCGAACGAAGGAAGAGAGAAATTGCAAGGAAGAAAGAGCAATGCTTATTCTTATTCTGATTAATAAAATCATATCTAATATTAGACTATAATACAACTCTCTTATATAGACATAAGAGAAACTATAATTAAGATTAATTTATAATCATATCTAATATTAAATATAACTCTCTTACATAGATATAAGAGAAATTATAATTAAGATTAATTGATAATAACAAATTTTTTGCTCGCTTAGCCTTTTTCAGCTGAAATTTGCAATAATAAATATAACGTCTAAAAAATATCATTCTAATTATATATTAATGCTATAAACTCCATTATAACTGCGCATAACAGGGGCACGCTTTGTTTAGGGCATCGAAAAGTGATACCAATAGTAGTTGTACCCATACCTATTACAGGCCATGGTCATCATGGTCATCATGGTCATCGTGGCGGCGGCGGCTGTAACCGTTGCGGGTAGGTCAATACTATTTCTTAACTGCAATAAAAAAAACGTAAAAAGATTAAAAACACCATATAATTATTGATCATCAAAAAAATAATGCAAAGAATTAAAATAATTTTACTAAGCTGTATTTTTAAAAGCTGCTATATTTTTAGCGTTAGAATTGTTTTTGGTGAGGCTGAAATTGTTATTTACATTTATATTTTGACTTGAGAGAGAGAAAGCATTTTTCAAATATTCTAGAATTAGCCGATACTTATATGGTTTTATCACAGATCTATACGTTTTATTCTTTATTCAAATTTATTATTCTTAAATTATTCCTATTTTTTACGCAAATTTTGTACGCGGTTTTAGTCGTGGTGGAGGCGGATGGGGAGGCGGAGGCGGATGGTCTCACGCATCCGCGTCGGCCCATGCTTCTTCTGGTAGCTGGTAAGTATTTTCCGAGACGATTATGTTTCATTATCGATAGCTTACATTTGCATCGATTAAAACCTCATTTTCTTTTTCAGGGGAAGAAAATGAAAAGAATATATGTAATCACGTAAACGTGTTGCCATTAATGATTTATGCTGCCTTCATGTTTAATACACGTATGCAAAAAAAAACCGTAGATTCTTCGAATACTATGGATCGTCAGAAATAAACGTTGCGAGTGTATTAACACAGTATTCGAAAGATAGTCTTAAAATATTGTAACGCAACGCATTTCCTCTTCGTTCGTTTGTATAACAAGACACTCTTGTACTGTGGCGCACAGTGGCTGCGAATAAATAACAAAAACAGGTTTGGCTCTAACAAAAATCACGATTCACTGCGTTATTCGGACGTAAACGACTTCTTAGAAATAATTACGAGGTTCATGATTAGTTTTTCATGGATCTTCAGCGAAGGAAGCGCTGCGTGCTAACGAGACGTGCGTTGCGCCTGCACTCCTCGCGTGGCTTTAATAGTCCATTAATTTCTACGCTTCTCGATAAAGCTGCACTTACATGGTAATAAGACAATTTATCGTATCATTATTATTCTTTTTTTTTCGTTAACTTGCAAAACGTCCGCGAAACTGGAAAGTTTTCTCGGACAAGACCTTCCTGACCCGAGGAACGCTAATTCGCTAATTTCTTCACCATATTTGCACAATAAAATTTGTTCTTAATCGTCAGTGCCTCGAAGCGATATTCACGATTATCTTTTGAATGGAATAAGAATCATATCTGTAGGGAAGTGCGAGAGTCGTGATACGCGTGTAAGACGTGTGGAAGAGATTATAATTCGACGACAAGCGATAAAAGCTGATCATCCAAGTTCGTGAAGCGTAATGCATGCTCGAATCCGTTCCGCATTATATCACGTGGAACCCGTTCCGCATTATCAAACCGTTGTAATTCACTAAGGTACCCGCAACCGGCGGCGGCGCCATAATCCCGCTCGGCTTCTTTACTCGCGTACAGCGCGTTCCGCGATCTCGGCGTCATAAGTAACTCACGCGCGCATTTCTGTCGGCGGGATTTAAACGCCGCGGCAGCCGCAACCGGGGCTCTCTCTATAAATACGATCGGTATGAGAGCGACGACGGCGGCACCGCAGCATCCACGAAACGATTTCAGCGATGCGCCGGCCGACTGTTACTGTTCGTAACAGCGAGTGGCAACAGTAATTACGGCGTGAGAGCTGGATGAATGTAACGGTAAAGTCTCTCTCTCTCTCTCTCTCTCTCTCTCTCTCTCTCCCTCTCAAAACCTGCAAGTTCCTACAATATATCTGGTGGCATTAATAATTAATTCTAAGTGAATCCTCTCGCCCCCTCTTTCTCTCTTTCTCTCTACCTGCAATGCATACTCTCAGTTTTCAACATTTTATAGCTGCACATAAACACGAAACGTAATCGCCCACGACACGGCGAGCCAGGGACTC